AATGAGTTATGACCTGCAGGACGATAAAAGCAGGGGTATGCGAAAGTCCTGCCGGGCGTGCAGAGCACCGCGTACACGGCCCTTTCTAAAACCAGCAGGGGTAGCCATGCACTCCGCTCGTCTCCCCTCTGGGCGACAGGAAGCAGGGAGAGCGGACACTCTTGCCCTGCTGTGGCCCGAGTGAGGACGATTTGGCCCGTCCATGCTTACGAGCCCCTACGGCGGGACGGGGCCTCGCCCGGTCCCTGGGCAGAGTGCCGGGCAGGGAGTCCGAAGCAAACTCCTGCCCCGCCCTCCCTCCACGGTTCACGTTCGGTTCTTCCCCTCCCTCCTCTCCCCCGGGCGGGGGGGAGACAGAGTCGGAGCAGCTGGTGCCAGCTTGGCGGCCGCAAACATGCTTTCCCCCTCTCCGCCTCGCACCACAGCGCCGGCGGCCGTCTGTTTACGGAGACGGCCAGAAAAGTGCCTACCTGGACGCTCCGAATCAGCGCACGGACGGGGGGCTGTTCGGACCCCAGCTTCCACGCCATGGTGGAGTCCATGAAGACCGGGCCGCAGCGAACAGGGTGGACGCATGTCGCCAGCATGTACGCTGGCTCCAGGGTCGCTGATGAGCTGCCACAGCGGCCACCAACGGCCCGCAGCCAGCCGCTTGCGCGTCCACGCCGGGCCACAGCGGAGCCGCCAACGGAGAGACGGGCCCACGAACCCCCGGCGGCTGCAGGGGGCTCCGTCCCACGCTCTCCGGCTCCCGCGCCACCCCGAGACAGGTCTCCCGGCCCGGCGGAGTCAAATGGGAGTGAGGCCTTCCCCCCACTCCTGGGTCGGGGCTCCTGCGAGACCTCCGAGGAGCCGGAGGCCGGTAATTAAGCCGGCTGCCACTAATCTGTTGATTAAGTAGCCAGCAGGTGCTCCCTGCCCAGAGGCTCGCGGCATTCTCTGTCCTGAGATACGCTCCTAGCACACGGTCATAAACCAATGAGCGCCGGATAACGCCTCATGTGGACAGCAGCTGCACACACCTCCACTCACCCCCCCCCTGAGGCCTGTACACGCTCATGATGGCACAGCCGGGAGGTGGACACGCAGCCGCTGTGGAGGGGTTTCCTCAGCAGCCCTTTCGCCTCTACGGGGAGCGGCGGCGGAGGGCAATGCCCCGCCCTCCCTCCACGGTTCACCGTCGGGTTCCTCCCTCCCTCCTCTCCCCCGGACGTGGGAGACAGAGCTCGCGAGCAGGGTGCCAGCTTGGCGGCGAACATGCTTCCCCTCTCCGCCTCACCAAGCGCCGCGAGATCTGCTTACGGAGACCGGGCCAGAAAAGCTGCTACTGGACACTCCAATCAGGGGGCCCCGCGACGGCGCTGTTCGGCCCCAGCTTCATTGGAAGACGGCCGCGCGAACAGGCGTGGACGGGCATTCGCCAGGCATGTAGCAGCTGGCCTCAGTCGGCTGGAGCCTGCCACAGCGGCACCAACGGCCCGCAGCAGTCGCGGGGTCACGCCGGCCACAGGAGGCCGCAGCGCGAGGACACCACAGCCAACCGCCGGCGCTGCAGGTGCGCGCCCGTCTCCGCTCCCCCGCCACCCCCAGAGACAGGGTCTCCCGGCCCCGGCAGGTCGAGTCAAAAGGGGTGAGTGAAGCTCCTGGTCTGCCTCCGCTTTCCTCGGTCTGCCTCCCGCCGAGAGCCTCCGAGAAAGCGGGAGGCCGGCGTAATTAAGCCGGCTGCCACTAATCCTGTTGATATAAGTAGACAGCAGGGCTCCCTGCAGAGCCTGCTGGTTTTAACCTATCGTTAATAAACCTGAACAGAGCTCGCCGGCATTCCCCCGTCCGAGATACGCCTCCTACATACGCGTCATTAATAACCCATGGAGCGCCGCGCGCCCTATAACGCCTCTCATGGGGCGCCCACTGCACACACCTACGCACTCAACACCTGAGCGGTGTACACGCCTCATGATGAAACAGCCGGGTGAAACGCAGGCGTGTGGAGGTTTCCTCTGCAGCCCTTTCGCCTCTACGGGCACGCGGCGGCGAGGGAAATGGCGTGCTGGGCTCGTCACCATGGACGCACCATCTACAGCAACATCACAGAGAAGCCAGAACGGCGGGAATGAGCCCAGTGATTCCAGGACCCTGAGTGGCCAGCGGAAGCGGCCCGCAGCGGCCACGGCGCCAGGGGCTCGCTACAGAAGCCTGCTGGT